AAACTACAGCACACCCATTCAACTCGATAGTGACAAAAGCTGCTTCTGAACAGTTGGATGAATAACGATATCGAGCAATTGATGGTGCTGATTTTGCACTTATCAAAAGAAGACCCTTCTGATTCAACCAATGTCCATCTGAAACTTTCACAATTCTTAAATTAAAATCGTGTGCGTGTAAACCTTGAAGATATCAGTAATTGGTTTAAACTAATAATGTAATAATTAACGTTAACGCTTGAGATTACGTAACAAACAGCCATTATATACGGCGCGTTGTTCAACAAACCCATGCACAGTCTATTAAAACAAATGCTTTCTTGATTTCTAGTTTGCTTTAACAGTGGATACTGTGACGCTCAGAAATGCTTCCCAGGGGTAGGGCAAAGACGCATGAACGTATATAAAAAATACCGTGACAAAAATGAGGCAGAGGTTTTTTTTCCGTCACTGCTGTGAGTTGCTTTAAACTCAGATATGTAAAAAATCGTCCATGGACAAAAACTCGAAATGGTTTCAATAACGGACCGAAATTACACACCGTGGCAATAACGAAATAAGCCGTTCATGGATCATTTGTGTACTGACTAAAATTAATGGCTGGGTAATGAAGTGACTGGAAAAAGTCTTCTTAGAACCACCTTGAACAACTTCCTCAGGAATCATACCAGGATCTTGGCATTTAGCCGATATAGTCATTGAGGCACATTACATCCTGGCTAATGAATGTTAGCAGCTGGGCGTCAAAGAGTCGATTGCGGGCTCTCAGCAGTTACTGACTGACATCAGCATGGGGCACCACAGAAGTAGTCTCCAGAGTTATTGACAGTCGTCGAGATTTAATATTTATTCCAGGAAAATATTGTTGACTAGGTGGCAAATATGTCTGCAATCGTATCACTTGACTCACAGGTCACATGTCATTATTATTGCAAGGTGACATTGCTCTCATTCGTAGAACAGCATCAGTCTTCTACAGCGTTAAACTTCGGCTTGTGTGCGGTTTAACTTATGACGACAGGTGTATTGGTACAATGAGCAAACGACTTCAAACATGAGTCACAATATGATCACAGTATGACATCAAAGTAATAATTTATCCAAAAATAAATTTTTTATTAGGAGAGGGTTAAACATGGAGCACTACGCAGAAATGACTACGAATAGCCATTCTATGAATCACAATGATCACTACAATTGGTGGCGTTTTTTGTTTCTTGTGAGACGATCCGAGTCTACAGCAGTGTACTCAATGTCCCAGAGACTTGATTTTAGCCTGATAGCGTTGCTAAAAGTAACAAAATGTTGAGAAGCCTAAACGGAAATACACTGTCATTAATTAATGCCATCAGGAGTCAGTTCCTACAAATAGACTGCATAATCCAGAGATTCAGAAAGACATCATTTCAACAAATTATGCAGAAGACACGAACACTTTAATTAGCATGCAATTTGTCTCAATAGTCATTTGTATTAATTATACAAAATTCAGATGAACAGTTAATTTCTTGCGTGCACATGGCAACGGGACTTGTTTACGTGAATAAACCTTGAACGATTCACTAATTTACTGACTGATTGCAGATTCACAAGTAGAAATCTTCAACTTCGATGCAGCAATGCGAGAAAGCGTCAGAAAAATCGCTAATGACTTCCGCGCCTTGGTCGCTCAAGGTAGAGCTGGAGAAACAACGCCAGATGGGAAACGTCCGGTTAGGCAACCACCAGCTAAGAACATGAAACGTCTGGTAAGTACATGAAACTGGTGCGTGATATGACAATATTATAGTATCATAACTTGCTTTACATATGAGATCAATGTGTTGGAGGAAGACTATCATAAAACATATGGCAATATATACCCAGGTCGTTTAGTAGGACGTGTTACTAACTTCGGAACGGTAGGGTAACGAGGGTCTGCGAAGTATTTTCACAGCAGTTAGAACTACCGTAAATATGTGATATAAAATTTTGTCTTGGCGAGTATTCGCAATGAGGCCTGTTTGTGAAAGGTTTGGCCAACCACGTGTTGATCCCCCGTGTCAT